AATGAGTGTTAAGGACGGAATCAACGAACGACCCGCGAAATAACTCGGTCCTCACTCACCTGGTGATAAAATACGAACGCATGATTCCACGTAGTTATTCGTGTCCTTGCAGCAGACTTTCTTAAAAATTAGAACATAATCAGTAATTATAAACAGAAGTGTATTGCATAGATAAATGTTTCAATGATTCACGGTCCAGGGCTCCAAATAAAACAGACGGTACAACAATTTATTGCCGACGCGTTTCGTTACGTTAACTGTTGCATCATCAGAGCTAGGCTAAGTCAAATGACTGCTTGGGGGCCCTTATGTCTAACAAGCAAACAATCCTTTAATCAAAATGTTATTAAACTGCTCAGTCAGAATGTTTACCAACAAACAATATTAAGTTCTTATTACAACAATTAGACAAATTTGGTAAATTTGGCAACTGACCCCCAGATTTCGCTATTAACCACAGATGTCTATTCTTTGTACTTCCAGTATATGCAAGGACTTCTTTATGAGCTGACCTAATTTAAACTGGTCTTTGTCTATAACTGACACACTGATCTGAGTGAAAGAATGTCTTCAGTTAAATAACATGCTGAGCAATACCGGAATTGTCAGCCTGTGCAAGACGGACCGCAGAAAATTATTCTTTTATCTAATGTTCAGTTTCCGGTTGGTCTTTCAATTTATACCTTGTCGCGGTGTCTAGAATGAACTCAACATTTTTCACTTCTTCAAAGTTAGCAATGGGCCTCTACTTTTAAATAAAATGCCGCTCAATGTAGTAGACTGAGAATCCCATATCACTAAGAAAAATGTTCTGTTGCGTCGTGACTCGAATCCCGTCTTTCAGAATCATTAAACCACTATTCATTGATGCATGCCTTAGACACTGATCCTAGAGCAAAGTGGCTATATGACGAAACAACACTGCAAAGATACTAATTCAAGCACTAGATGAAAAGTATAAATAAAGTAAAATAGTTTAACATTAAAAATATCGATACCGGCTTGAAAGGCCGAAAATTCTGTGTAAAGAAAGAAAAATCTATATATCACTTTACTCCAGCAACTCTACTGCGCCGATCCCTTGCTTCTAGACACTAAAATAGTTTAAACTGTCAGTGCCACAGGAATATGCTATTTGCAATCAGCTGATTACGCTCTTCAAAGGTTCGGCAGATCATGATGGTTAAGGATTTTTAACAGGCTTGGAAACAAATACGAATGGCAATTGAAAATTCAGTTACCTGTGTTTTCAATCAAATCATCTCTTCTGCAAGTATGTTTGCGTCACAAGAACGGGACTTTACGGTTCACCCCAATTATCAACCACGGGCCACCTGAACACGGTAGTAAATCTTCAGCTGATCTGCATGTTCTAATGATGAGAATTATTTTCGTGTGTTGCCTTCCCGGTTCTGGTGATGTCTTGTTTTTTCTATGTAACCTTTAAAGACCATCACAACAATGTTTTGAACTAGAAATTTTGCACTAAGCTTAAAACATATAATTGTTTAAGGCTGTTCGTTTGCAAATTATCGATTTGCGGTAAATTTTAATGGAAAATATCTGTTCTGTTTGTCAGTAAAGTTTGTAGCTCTCACCTGGAAATGTAAAGTAGTATTTAAAGTGATTTTAGTCACACTAGCAGTTGTAATTATAAAAATTTTGCTTGACAAACGACAAATTCAATGCCCGAAACGACGAAAAAACATGATATTTTTATGCGAAGTAAACCCTTGAAATATGGTGAGGAAATTTTCGGCCTTTAAGAAGCAGTGTGCCTTAACAATGTTTCATTTAAGCGATTGTGACAGTTTTTTGTGATATTTTCCTCCTTTTTAGTTTTGTACAGTGATTTTTTTTATTGAATGTTGTATTATCACTACTTTCATTGATCATTTGTCGCATTGAAAAATGGCATTTAATCCGTAAAATTCAAACTAATTCATTAAAGTGCATAATTTAATAGTTTTAATAATTGATATCTTTCATTCTTCGTTCATATAGGTTATTTACACCGTTTTTTACTACTTTTCAAAAACTGTCTGCGATAAAACTTTGAAAGATTCTCTTCCCTTGTTCTTTTGGTCATTTACTTATCCACCGACTCGTTTCCGGAATCACCGATTCACTCACCCACTCGTTCATTCCTTCATATGTGATCGGGGCTGCTTAGTTGGTAGTGCCTTGTTCTCAGAACCGAGAAATGCTGAATTCAAGCCCCAGTCGGATCATTTGCCTTTTCTACTTTCGAGGTTGATTCGTGTACTGAGATTACTGAGACTACATACTATCTGTAGTTGGTTCCGGTTCGATCATTAACCCAGAGTATATCAGCCGATGCGTCAGTCGGTTACATTGAAATCTTAGTTGAAGGATCAAAAGCTCTAATCACTGCTTAGTTCCTCATCGTTTTGCTGTGGTGGAACGGTGCCACAGTACTTAAATTGTCGGCTTCGGACTCGAACTGCGGAGGTGACGAGTCCGATTCCGACGAATTGGCCTGGGTAACTAATTGGTCTCAATTGCTTCATACCCGAGATTATTTTTCGGCAGAACATTGAACTTAGAATCGTGAGGAGCAGGATTCGTCCCCCGTCAGGTCACTCGCCTTTCCTCTTTCTGAGGTAGATAAATAAGTACCACTCCGTTGGAACGGAGCAGGCGACCTACACACTACGCTTACCACATGAGCTTACCTTAAAAGACAAGCCAATCTTAGCTGATGCATAGTAACGGAAATCAGGATCGCACTCTCAGCTTCATGAGAAGAAGGGCGTCAAAATGGCCTATTCATGAAGGTGAAGAAAGAAGAACATTCCAACGTTGATAAACGTTCATTTCCTTTCCTAATTTTACAACATTTTCGCCGGAGGCCTCGTTTTATTGTTGCCGCAGTCTCGGTGCTAAATATGCGTGACTGATGAGGATGCTGTTTCGCAGATTAATAACTTTATGAATAGCATAGCGAAATTGTGGAATTAACGTTTTATCTTATTTTAGGATCGATTGAAACAAGTTACCAAAATATCAGGGAATATTATCGATGACAGTTGTTCAGATGAAAGAAGAAACCGAGATTTTCGATTTTGCACATTGTGAAGGTAATCACATATACAGTTGATGACTTTCATAGTAAAAATAATGATACTTCGAATGCACAGTTTAAAAAAATGAAATCAATTTTCACTTTACATCAACAACTCTGTTGCACCGCTCCTAGCTTCTAGACGCCTAGGAGGGTTACTGCCCCTTGCACTTGCAGTGCGTAGGACGCAGGACCGCTTCTGAAAAATGGGTTGAGCACAAGTATGTTTCTTTCTTTACACTGTGCATTCATTGTTTCAAGCCGGTATCATTATTTTTACTGTGGTATATTCAGCGGGCGCATCGATGGCTCCCCAGAACATCGGGTTCCATTTTTTCACAGTTAGTGACTTTGTTTTAGTATTTTTTATGAATAGTGCCTATTTATGTATTTTCTTTTCACGTATAGATGTACTGTATTTATATGGTAATTTGCGCTTAATATTATGTACTAAATAGCATATACCTTTCACAGACCAGATATCTTGGCATATCGCCTGTTCATTGGTAATTGCCTTTGGGGG